AAGCCAAGATATCTATAGGCCACACCAATTTAATCTGTTGGTTCTCTGATTAAAAAACATTAAATCAACTGGAAAACATCATGAAAACAAAGTCTGAGGACCAGGTAAATGCCTTTTGTTGCACAAGTTTTCAAGTAAACTTCTGCTTGGAGAGAAAGCTGAGAAGAGCACAACACCATGGCCTCCAATCTCAATGTATAAATAATTGTTTATGGCTTTGTTGGAGGCTTTAGTCCACACAAAGGCTGTAACAGTGCACACAAATACCTCATCCTTTCCACACAGTTACAGAATGACTAATGAACCTGTACAATGTATGCCTGAGGTAATTGAATTAGCTGTGCCCATTGTCATGCTAAAACTCTGCTCACAATGAGATGAAACAGAATTTTTAAAGAGCACCTTATTGAGTGAAGTGTAAATTCATGCACTGCCTATTTGTGAGTAATTCAAGAAGCCCTGTGGCGACAATTGAAAAGTTGACACCAGAATGCCTTTGTTGGAAGAAGAGCTATTTGTCAAATGTTAGCTGTGGACAGTGAAATGGCACCAGCACGGATCAGCTATTAGTCTACAGCAGAGACCAATTATCAAAAACATCTCATCTAAGATCCCGTTCATACCAGACTTTTAAAAACCGGTAGAAACCGCTAAATAATTAGCGGAGGAAAATCCGGCTAAAACCCTTAGCGTTCATACCAGACTTTTCATAACCGGTTTTGTAAAAAATATCGAGTCCGGTGAATATCCAATTAATTGGCCATGACTGCAGTTTGAATAACTGTTCGTCCCGCTCTTCCGATTGCTGTCGCCTTCTTGTATACCATCTTCATGTTCATTACCTTACTGCGGCACTGATCCTTTATCTTCGAGAAACCAGGCTCCTCCAACATTTTTGTTTCGGTAGAGCCCCCCCCCCAGCTTTTTCGAATTCGGCGACTCCAGCTCTTCAAAAATACACGAATAAGTGTCAGAAACGAACTCAAATTGGTCAATACAACGCGATCAAAAAAGCTTGGAGGTCGCACACGGCCAGGATGCTGACCCCGTGACCCCGGAATTATGACGCAAAAACCGGTTCAATAAATCCTTAGTGTTCACACCAGGTTTTTCGGTGGAAAAACCCCACAAAAACCACCTCCCGAGGTTTAAACCCCTGAAAAACCGGTTAATTTGCGTTCACACCAGGTTAAATAAAAAACGGTTTTTGAAAAACTGGTTGAAACCGCTAAATATAAGTCTGGTATGAACAGGGTCTAAGCAAGGATATATCCTATACAAGGATATAACCTTCTTGATCTAAGAAAGTCAAATATGAATATAAGAAACTTCACCGTTCACCATCACAGAGAAGTGAGGAGACAGTCTACTAAGTACATGTAAGTGCTAGTCGGTGATTATAATCTTGATCATGTATATTACAGTGTATATACATGTACATGTATGTACAAGCCAATCTTTTGCTGTGACCTGTACTTAAAGTTAACCCTCTGTGAGTGTCTGGTCTGAGTATAAATGTACAATAAAGGTCTTTATTAATTCACTACAAAAAAATTAGATTGATTTTGTGTAAAACTGTAGTTAAGGTTATACCACACTTCCATTATTACTGTATTTTCCTTATGAAGAACTCGCAAGAGATTGTGCCGGCTGACTGACTATGAAATGAAACCGAAAGAATCTTTTTACAATACCTACAGTCTTTCCTGGTCAGTCCCTTATTCCGTTCTTCCATAACAATAGACAATTTTCAGCTTCACCAGTTCTCATCTTTCACCCTTTCTCACATCCCTCACAACTCCAAACAAAACCTAACCACAGCCACGCACAATCTGTCCCTGTGTGAAAAAGCTATAGGAAACCTCCCAAACCTTGAGAAGCTGTAACCTCTTGTGCAGGCGTCTGAGCAGGTTGGCATTTTAATATTGGGTTTTGTATGATTGTAAGGAGTTCTTTTGCCAGCCATCGTACAACCAACCGGCCATGTAAAACACTGTTATTATAGAATTTCCTCATTAATTATGCAAATAAAGTCCTCATTTGCATAATTTGCATTTTATTATGTATATCTCTCTCTCAGCTACCTACCTACCAAAAATGATGAAAATACGTTGTTCCTATCTGGACTTATTGGCTTTCAAAGATTTCGCCAGAAGGTCCCCTGCAGTTCCAGAACAAGCTGCTAGGGGGACCAAACTCATACCACTTATTCCTGACATGAAAATCTATCTGTCACCAAAAATTCAAGACCATAGCATGTTCAGGACAAAAGATACAAAAACCGGAAGTTCTGCTGCAGTACCAAGGTCATCCACCAGGAGGCCCATATTTGACCTTGACCTTCGTCTTCCTAAGACTTACCAGCATACCAAATATCATCACAATCCATAAAGGCGTTATGAAGTAATGCTGACTACAAAATTTGCGGAAATACACAGACAGACAGACACACACACAGACAGACGGACCAAAAACAATACCTCCATTTTTCATGGAGGTAAAAAGCCAGTCTGTTCAGAGGCCTGCATAGGAGGCTAGAGAAAGCTGGCACAAATCACATTTGCTGTAGGACTCAGGGAGGTGAAAAGGCCAAACATCTGTGGCTAAAGCAAACATCTCCAGGGAAACCTGACTGGTAAGTCTTTTGAAACTGTGCAGAAAGTGTTTTCTTGTGACTAAAAGCTCTCAACTCCAGGCAAGCACATCTGTTCCAATTAAATGTACATACCAGTATTCCAGTGCAACTTTTGGGGTGCCAAAACTGAATTTGCAAACTCAATTTTCCGGTCAGTTGAATCCGGAAAATCCAGTTTTCTATCCCAATCAGAAAACTGATTTAAGTGAGGCAAAAATGTGATGTCACCAACTGGTTGCTTGTTTTGTATCATAGGCTGGTTCTAGCTATTTGTTGGAGGTACCCAGAATAATAGAGGGCCTGTTTTGGTTTATTTCAAACTCTTCAAACATGAAATAATGATGAAAATGTGCTAAGAAATGGCAGTAATTGTCAATAACAGTCAGATTTCCTCATCAAGAATATTTTTTGTTCTGTGCCTAAAAATTACACTGGATGCCTTTAATAAAGGCCTCATCCATAGCTTCCCTGCATTGATGGCACATCAAATCTTCCATTGGGGGCTACTGTTGTGTGGTATGAATGATGATAAGGCCACACCAATTTAATTTGTTGTTTCTCGGATTTTTTCAGAAAAAATCAGGAGCGACAGGGCAAAATAAAATTAAAAAAAAAAACAGACCAAGGCACCCCATGACAGCCGGAAATGTTACAATATGAGCCATGAAGTGAACACACCAGGCTGGTTTATAATTAAAACAATAGATTTTGAACTTTTAATGAAACCAAATTGCATTGTTACATTAAAACTTTTACATTAGAACTGGGAAGAAAAGGACTTTTTCAAGTGTTGGGGCCAAAATATGTCTGTCATTGAGCATTTTGCAGTTAATTTAGAACCCCAAAAAATATCTTATTTTTTTGCAAATCAGAAAAAAATGGATCTGAGAAACAACAAATTAACTGGAGTCATCATCACTCAAGAGAAGAGGACATCAAATCAACAGTAAATACATCACTCTGTCCTGAAGAACAGCCAGGCAAACATGTGGACATGATCTAAATTCCTCATCCTGCTAACAGAAAGCCATGTGTGTTCTCCTGTGGGCATATCATGTGTGTCTTCCACAGGGAATGAAGGCACTGACCTCACCCAACAAACACTTTCTCCTGTCCACAGGGAAAACAAAGTAGGAAACACAAGACAAAACAAATATAGACTACTTCAGTTTCAGTAAGTGTGTTGCTTGTTCTGCCTCGCTAGTTGACACTTTCACCCCATATTTAAATGATTTGAAACTGTGCAACTTCTAACAACACTCATCTGCAAGAAAGTACACTGTACAACAGATGCCGGAGTAGAAGAATTTTAAGTGTAGTCAACGGGTTAGTAGATCCATGACTTGTCATCCTCATACAAAAGTTCAGTCTAACCCCTCAACCCAAAGAGGTTGGTTGACCCCAAACTTTTTTGATACCATCTGAAACTGTCAAGATGTGTCCAAACAGATGAGTTCCAGAAGTCTCCTGTGCTGTGTGTTATCATATACCCTTAGGCGCTACGTGCTCATTAACCTACTTTTTGTTGTATCCGAATTATGATTAATTTACTATCTATTCCATTATCTGAAGACAGATATGTTTGGATTCTGCCTTTTCACAGTGATAGCATAGAGAAAATACAATTTCGTTTTCCACACAGTTCAAATAATTTATAACAAAGAATTTGTTTATTGATTTAGATACTAGTAGGTTTAATCATGTTAAAAGCGTGCGTGAACTCAAGCGTATCGAAAGTTTCGCGAATTGTTAAATCATATACTTTCTGAGTTTTCTAAAGTTAAAGTTAAAGTAACAAATTTGTTTTTAGTTACTTTGTTATACTTGATTAGCATCTGGGCCCCGGCTGCCCCCGTTTCACAACATTGGCGCGTCACCTTATAACTTACCGGTAACAGCAGCTTGGGTTGTGGCCTGACAAAATTATCACTTCAGAACACTCCAAAATAACCCACAATATACGTTGTCTCTGTAACGCATACTATTCTAGGCTATTCAACACTAGCATGTGAGCTACTTCCATACAGATAGCGCCTCTAGAACTGCATTCTACGGGAAGAAAGTACGTATAAGTTTGTAAGACTGAGACTTACTTGCCACCGTGGACCGCCGGCCCGCTGCCTGATTAAATTAGCAGACGCCTCGCGCTGTGATGTGACCTTCGACCTACAGATAATTTCACTTCAAAAAGGGGAGATAACTAATAACTCTCCAAATCAGCGCATTATATATTCTAATAACGATGATTTCGTTCAATATTTCTCTATTCGTACTTAATGTTAGTGCAAATCTACTTTTCTTGCTAATACTTTTGGTTCTGAAATTCCAACTGGGGGATCTGACATCCCTTCAAACAATGGTAGCACCAACAAAATGGCGGACGATTTGAAGAAGGGAGAGAGTGAAAAACCAGCCGAGGAAGAAAGACCAACAATGACAGAGGAAGTTCTGGACGAATCAGGAAAGGTAGAAGCCTGCATGCCTCACAGTAATGCTATGGCAGGTGTCAGGAAGTTTAAGGTAGGGTGAATGGTGGTTTGGTACCGCCGGGATTCTGGTTGTGTGACGTCTTTTGGAGCTGGCCTGGGCGTCAAAAGTTGAGCGCTAACTTGTTCACGAGTTTGTTGATCTAACTTCAATCTTTCCAGTTTCCTATGATCCCAGGATTAACTTATAGAAATTCTCTTTCTTCATCTTCATCTTTGCCGTGGCTCAAAGATGTTATGTGAGCCCCGGATACACCCCATAGCCCCTGATGGGGCACTTTAGGGGGAACACAACATAGTTTTCTAACACAACATAGTTGACAGTGTTTGTTTATTTGTTTTATTTGGCCCTCCGTGTGAATTTTTTTCTATAAATCATATCTCTACTCTAGGCTACGTTAGTGCATTAATATTATACTACTCTGTATAATGTCCTTGGTTAGTGCAAGTAAAATTTGAGCTGTGCAGGTATTTCTGATGTCTACCTGCACCTAATTATATATACCTGCACTGGTCCATGTACTGGGTATATGCAGATTAGTGCAGGTAAAATTGGAGCTGTGCAGGTATTTCTGATGTCTACCTGCACCTAACCTGCACTGGTCCATGTACTGGGTATATGCAGGTTAGTGCAGGTAAAATTGGAGCTGTGCAGGTATTTCTGATGTCTACCTGCACCTAACCTGCACTGGTCCATGTACTGGGTATATGCAGATTAGTGCAGGTAAAATTGGAGCTGTGCAGGTATTTCTGATGTCTACCTGCACCTAACCTGCACTGGTCCATGTACTGGGTATATGCAGGTTAGTGCAGGTAAAGTTGGAGCTGTGCGAGTATTTCTGATATCTACCTGCACCTAACCTGCACTGGTCCATGTACTGGGTATATGCAGGTTAGTGCAGGTAAAATTGGAGCTGAGTAGGTATTTTGATGTCTACCTAAACAATGCAGCACCTAGTAATAACCTCCACTGGTCCATGTACTGGGTAGGAGAAATAATGGCAATGGTTTCTGAACAGTTTTTAGTATGATCCATACTTCTTAGTCTGTGTGGCACAAGTCAAATTTGTCTGGAGAAGATAATTTTCATTCAGTGTTACCAGTTCAGGTACAGTATACTAGGTAGGTACAAATGTAGGTAGGTACAGTATCAGTATTTGTATCTGTATAGCTGGTATAACCGCCCTTGGGCGTAACACACCAGCTATGCTACTAGTAGCTGTATACAGTTACAATAAATGGTATACACTAAAAGGAATTTGGAGCCCTGAGAATTCAACAGTGAAGGTGCGCAGTACACAGTGGATTAATTTTGAAACTTTATTCAAATAAACAAAACATACCTTTAGATTACTTAGTTTCTTAACTTGATTTGTATTAATACTGTTGTTACAGAAACATTTCAGGATAATGATTTGTGTAAGGATTTGTGTTGTGTGATATCAACTCCCTGGCACTTTTGATCAATTGCTTGCGTCACGTGTCAGTGGGGTCTCGTGTGAATAAGGTCACGTGTTTGTGGACCGTGGCTCTCACGATATCACATTGTGAAGTGATTGGTCACTAATTATCGTGAAGATGACAGTTGTCGCTGAAAATTTGATCTCTCTGTAAACTGTGTGTTGAAATAAAGTTCAACTTTTTACTATGGTTACTACCAACACAGGTGAACTTTCATGATAATGATTTGTGTTGTGTCTCATCAGTCCCACCCAACACTAGAGAGAACCCTGCAGCATCTCCAGTTCCGTAACCCCGGGCCCATGCTGCAGGATTTTGACCCTGAGAAGAGTGAGCGTGAGAAGCGTAAGCTAACACGGATGGTCCAGCAACAGAAACAGAAGGCGTAAGTACTCCAACAGTACAAGTACCTGTACAAGTACAAGTACAAGTATCTACAAATTCCTCGGTACAAGATGTACAAGAACAACTTCCCTGTACTTTCTTTTATTTCCTGTCTTACTTTTCTTCCAAATGTTCTCAGTCAGTCCTTCAGGTGAGTCAAACATTCAGACATTATTTCTAATCTCTTTTTGTTAAAGGCATTCAGTGCATTTCCTGGTCGGTACAACTGGATTTTCAAACTCAATTTTCTAGTCAATCTTTTCATGTAGTACAAATGTACTAGTAAGTTGCATCAACTCTATCTCATAGCATACTGATATCTATGAGGTAAAAATACCATGCTGCTGACGGAAAATGGCTTCTTGTTTTGCATCGTAGGTGAGTTCTAGCTATTTGTGGGTGGTACCCAAAAAATAAAGGGACTCCTTATGTAGCTTGTTTTGGGGCTATTTCAATTCAAGTATGGAATGATGACGAAAATGTGCTACGAATAGGCTGTAAATGATATTATCAATATCAGACAGATTTCCTCTTCCAGAATATTGTTGGTTTTGTTCCCCCCGGAATTGCATTGGATGCCTTTAAAATTGATTTAATATTCGTGGCATTTAGTAGCCTGGAACTCATCCCTACGCACTATTGTCAGGTAACACTGGTCACCTCAATTTTGGAATGTCACTTTCCGAATTTTGAGACACCTATGTTGAAACCCCTGATTTTCAACTTTGTTATTCCTGGATGTACAGTGAACTTTTGCATGCCATTGGAAAGATCATGCTATCTTCAGTACCAGGTTGCTTTTTTTATGGTCAGAATGTACAAATTTATCAAGATATTTGACTTTAAAAATTGCAAGCCTGGCGGTCTAGAACACACACCGTCATGCCCAGCAGCTTAGCCTGGCAGTCCTAAACTTTAGCCCGCGGCCTGAGTTAGCCAGCCCGCATCCAGACCGCATCCAATTAGCCTCATGAACACCCCATGAAAACCACTGAATTAATGAGAATTCACATTTTCACACCTGTGTAATTAACAAGTTTGTGATAAATTCATGAGAGGTCTGGGCTCAATGGTTAGCCCGCGGGCCTGAACAGGCCTGTCGGTCTGTGGACAGGCTGGGCTGATGATTAGGCCTTATGATAGAGAACCTTCAGACTTTAAACACCAAACAGAAAGTGAGGAACAAAAATATGCTGCCAAATTGATGCTTCCAGATTGATGATGGTTTACACTTCACTTCATATCACTTCATATTAATAAACACCCTTCACATTTTCAGCTAATATTTTCAATAAGTGATTACATATTATTGACAAGTATGATGTACAGGTATGAATGATGATAACTTTCATGAATATTCATTTTGAACATTTTCTGCAAAAGCTTCAGAAATTTCTACTGGAAGAATTTTTCCTGTAAATGGGAAGAATTGTTCTGCTATTAAGACTGCAAAAAGTCTCTTTCTAGTAGAAAGCTTTTTGAACATGTTTGAGGAGGTGGATTTTGCTCCTGCTGTGCTACCTGGGCTGATACCTGGGCGGGGTGTAACATTTGTGTAACGGTTATGACTAAAAAAGATCAGATAGCATCATAAAAGACCCTTGTCTCAGCAAGAACACTTCATATTAGACCTGATTGGTTGTGGTGTTGGAAGCCAACTTTTGAGGACACTTCATGGTCACTTACAGTTTCTGTTTGGCAGGTATAGTCCAATCTGTCCTACTATGGATGGGCAACTCCCCTGGCCAAATCCCTTTGAAACATCATGGGGGTAGAAATTTATCTTTTTTTAAAGAATGAAGACTTGGCTAAGTACAGGTCACAACAAAACAAGATGAATGGACATGGTTTAAACAGATAAACAATAACTCCATGGAAACATTTAAATCAAAAGGAAAACATTTGGAGTTTTAGTGCCATAATCCTGCCATGTATAAGCCTCAGCCGATGTACACTGAAAACATAAAAAGCAAGGAATCGATCCTCAATTTGCAACATGAACTTGCTTTCAGTGCAAGGAGTTGTACAATGCTTTAGGAAATTC